AAGCCGATGTTTCGCCATCGCACATGTTTGTTATCCTACTTTGATTCTCAATATCATTTTTAGGTGTGATGATTTGTCATCCATTTTATTGATGATTCGCCATCTTTGCCATGATATCTTGTTATCTTGAAGCCAATGTTTCGCCATCGCACATGTTTGTTATCCTACTTTGATTCTCAATATCATTTGTTAGGTGTGATGTTTTGTCATCCGTTTTATTGATGTTTCGCCGTCTTTTCCATAATATCTTATTATCTTGAAGTCGATGTTTCGCCATCGCACATGCTTGTTATCCTACTTTGATTCTCAATATCATTGTTAGGTGTGATGATTTGTCATTCGTTTTATTGATGTTTCGCCATCTTTTCCCTGATATCTTGTTATCTTGAAGCTGATGTTTCGCCATCGCACATGTTTGTTATCCTACTTTGATTCTCAATATCATTGTTAGGTGTGATATTTTGCAATATGTTTTATCGATGTTTTTGTTATTTGTTTTATCATTTGATGTTTCACCATCTTTGATGTGTTACCTTGTTATTATTTAGTCGGTGTTTGACCATCTCATGTGTTACCTGTTTTTGTTGTCTTAACTAAAAAAAATAAACCAACCAAAATACATAAGTCGAACTACGGCTGCTCTGATTCCTTAAAAGGGATACGTAGGCATTGGGGTAGGGCCCGATCGAGCATATCTTTTTATTTTACCTACATTGTTTTCTTTTTTTTCTTTCGCATTGCATTCCCTTTTCAGTTTTAAGCCATAGACATAGGATTTGACCACACCCATTAGATCAGACAACAAGAGTGGATACCGTAGAGTACTACGGGCGTGTGGGGTGCTAATACCTTCCCCTTGCGTAACAGACTCCCTTACCCGATCTCTCGGTCAAAAGACCATGATTTCTCCCTTTTCAGGTTTTCTCGATGTTTACCTTTCCCTTTCGGTGGGATAAAAGATGTTCGGTGGCGACTTCATTGATGTTTCATTACATCCATATGACACGTTCCGACCGCGTTGTTTCATTCTCAAGAGAAATCCAGTGATGAGAGCATTGAGAAATATCCTAATGTCTAAACCAATGTTGGATATTATCTCAGGATTTCAAGACTCTAGGAGTTATGAGGAACTTTTTCTGAAAACTCTCTAGTCATGACTGCTATCTTCATAGAGTTCTTCTTTTTGGTGTCTATATCCCAACCTGATTGAGAGTAACTTTTTGGTGAAGTGTTAGCGTATATTTTGTACAAGTTTGATGGAGTCAGTATCTATGAATTATTCTTCTTTGTGGGTCTTTGTTTAGTTGTGGTTGTATGTGTATTCTGATCTTGTTCAAAGACTATGGTTAAGGTTGAGGGTAATTGAACTCTCAATGATTTTGGAGGTTTTAAAGATTGCAATTTTCAACTGAGTGTCATGGTGTTGTGTTTTAGAGAGATCGGTCCAAAGTTTCCAAGAAGGAGGTGAGTTGATCATGACGTGTGAAGCATGTTATGCTGAAGGGCAGGTGTAGAATTCCATTACTAAGGAATAAGTGTAGGCTCTAGTGGACGGGATGCCTACATCTAGTGTCACGTGAAAAACATTTTTCAATGGTTTGGAGAAGGCACAACTGATGTTGGAACATTTATGCCGTAAAGACTTGGAAAAAGAGATTTTGAACAGATCTATGTCTCTCTTTTGAGATGAATGGTGCACCATTAACAAGGATGTCTTTATCTTCTTAGAAAATGCATTCATTGATTGGTTGGGTCGTTATAAATAAGGCATCGTTACAAACCGTAACACCCTTCCTTGGATATAAATACCCCTCACTTGTTCTTCCCTCCCATGTTTTTCCTCTCAGTATTGTTTGTCATGGCCTTATTTGGGGTTCATTCGTAAGCTTTTAAGCATTGAATAATTTTTGTGTGTCATCTTTTGGATAAAAGGGGGAGAGTTAATTGTTTTTAAGATGTTAGTGATGTTGAATTTGAGTCTTGTTTAGGGGTGTTGAGTGTTTCTGCTGTTTGCATGCAACAATTGAAGGGGAGTATGACCATTTGTAATAAGGGTTCTTTGTTTCTTAGTATGGTGGTTCTTATGTTGTGGGTGTATACAGGATGTCGTACCAGACGTTTTAACATCCTGTCCTATGTGCCCAATTTGCTTCTATCACATGATCTTCTAATTTATGTTGCTTCTGTCAAATGGTCTTCTAACTTGGGTTAGTCAAGTTAGAGTTCTTCTTGATTTTTTGTGGCTACAGGAAAATTCTCCTAGGGATTTGTGACTAGAATTGGTTATGGGTCTTAGAGGGAGTAACTTGGATGGTTACGAAGATGAAGGTTATTTTCTTCCTCGTGTTCACCAACAGAAGAATATAATTGGAGTTATGACTCCCTAGTGATGTGTTCCACTTCAATGTGTTTGAAGAGGTGATGAATATTGATTCTCGGGTGAATCTGAGTTGCTTTTGTTGAGGGGGAGAATCTTCAAATTCTTTGTTGTGTTTGAGCCAAAGAGTGTTGGAAGAGAATTATGGCCCTGGTTTGGACTGGCTGTGAAGATCTGTTAGACATGATGTCCTGACATGTTGAGAAGAATTTTATTTTTCTCTTGCTATGAGTATCCTCCATTGTACTCAGATAAATTATTTTGTCTGTTGATAACTTTCTGCTACTTGTGTTGACTATTATACCTCTGCTTATGTGTGTTTGAGTTTATCTTCATACCTAAGCTATTTTGATGTTTGTATGTGCAATGAGTATTAAATTTTTTAGCCAAAATAAGCCAAAAGGGGAGATTGTTAATACTCTGTTTTTTTATTGGAATTATGTTTGGTAAAATGAACTTAGCATAAACATGTTGAAAGAAGATGTTATAGAAACTGGAGAAACATGTCGAACAAGATGTACTATGCATAATCATTCGACATCGCGCATGTGTACAGCTGTGCAGTTGGATTTGTTTATATTTTACAGATGCAGAATATGCTGGGAATATTATGCTTTCCTATGTGGCGTTGAGTTTAAGGATTGAGAGATTCAAGCTTAATTCAAAGAGTTGTGTTAGTTTCTAATTATGTAGATAATTTAGTAAACTAATGATTCAAGTCCTAATTTTGTGAAGAAGTTTCTGCTGATTTGTAGCCACTGATTTGTTGCGCATGTGAAGCCCAATCCAGTCCAGAAGATTGCTTTAAATAGAATGTTACAAACACTGTTTCAGTGGCGGAAAGGATTGTAACTTTTGTTTGAGTTTTATGGATTTTTTTCTTGTGAAATGTGAGCCATTCTTGTATTATTTTGATACCTGAGTTGGATTGTCTCTATTGAGTTTTAAGCATTGTCAGTCACTCTTAAGATGCTAAGTATAGAGTGATTGTGTGTTTTGAAGTTTGTCTTCTAATTTCGTTTGAATTGTGTTCTTGTCACTGTTTCTGGATGGAAGGGATTTGAGAAGGGTCTCATACCTAGGTGAGTCTTAGGTAGAAGTTAAGAAAGGGTGTGATTAAGTGAGAAGTTGTAAACGATGGAATTTATCTTCAAATTGATACTATCTAGTTGATTTCATCTCGGGCTTAGTAGGCCCCATAGTAGGTGTTGTTGTACACCAAACTGGGTTAACAATTCTACGTGTTGTTTACTTTATGCACTATTTTATTATTTTATATTGTTCATTGTGTTATTGTTCATAAATCGGTGTCTCGAGATCTCTTAGGACATATGTGATATGAATACCAGAATTTCAATATTTACAACCAATTTTTATTCTTTGTTCTTGCATTTGTATAACTTCTCCCCCTTTGATAACATCAAAAAGAGAAAAAGGCCACAAAAAACATAAGAAGCATCAAGTAAAACTCTCAATTTCATATAAACCACTCAGAGGAATTGCAAAGATAATTTTGGTTAGCAACACCAACACTCACATAGAATAATGATGAAGTGAAATAGTATAAAACATAATTACGCAACAAAGCATTCAAAATAAAATCAAATGTAGTTCGTTATAAACACAATGCAATATTGTTCAAATGAGAATTGCAATAATCCAAACACAATATAAATTAAACCAACATGAGAAAAGAAATGAAAATGCATGCAAGAACGACCATATCCATAATGGAGCATAACTAGTTTCTAGGACCACATCCCCTAGGCTCTGGTTTCAGACCCCTGAACCGTGCTCCTCCCTTGTTTCCATGTTTCCTATCCAAAAAATCACACATCTCATGATAGATAATTGTGTAGTGATGATGATTTTTATCTTGAGCCTTAATTATGCTACGAATTCCATTTTGAGTGGAACCATGGTTGAATGCCATGTTCTCACGGATCTGAGCAAATTCTCCTCTGACATATAAGTCAAGGGAGTTGAATCTGGTGTCTTGGTCATTCATATTCTCTTGGACCAAACAGAACCGAGCATCATGAGTTGCTTCAAAAGTATCCCACCTATCTTTATGGTATTACTTCTATTTAAGACATATATTTTTAAGCATGGTGATAATTGACTGATTTTTCATCACTTGAACGTTTACCATTTTCATACCTTGAATCTTGACCAGTCTCATACTCGTATTCCATCCTCCATTGAGTCCAAGAGTCATTCTACCACTCTCCCCAACCTTTTCCCTCTTCTTCAGTTTGTTGCTGAAATGCCCAACCTGGTTGAACCTCTCTAGTTAGTTGAAATGTAGAATGATGAAGCCAAGCCTCGTCAACACCATAATTTGCATTAAGAATGTTTGTATTATCATGCTGAGCATTTTCATCTATCTCTTTCTCCTCAACATTTACTTGATCAAGCTCAAACGGATCATCATAGTTGTACATCCATTCATTGTTCCCTTTCACAATGAAGTAGTAATCCTCTCGACCCTTGTCCCACTTATACTTCATGTTTTCCAATGTTGTAGCAATGAAATCATTTGTTTGGCCAGGTGATATGCGGGGAAGATTTCACATATTAATGCAGAAGTGCCTGAGAACCCTACTAATCATAGAAGGATAACTCAAGGATGATCCCCTATGACACTCAAAAACTTATTCTCAAGAATGTACATTAAGTGTACCTCAGATTGATCAATCCTAGAGTGATCATCCTTTCTTGGATGAAAAATATAAGTGAAAATCCAATGAAGTGTGCGAGGATTTCTCTTCAAGTTTCCGGTAGACAAATTTTCCAAGTTTTCTAGGTTTGTCCTTGGTGCCTTTAGGAACGAGTTTAAGTAGGGCGTCCACTCAAAGTTATAACATAGTGAAGAATCGGACAAGTTTGTTTCATGACTGGATATTGAAATAACAAACATATGTCTCCAAATATCTTGATTAAAGTGGTAAGATTGGCTACCCATACAGAAACGAAAAATAGAATCATCCTTTTCTTCTAACCATGCATAAATGATTTTGAACAAATCCTCATTATAACCAGTATTAACCTTCAAAAGCTGGTCAATCTTTTGATGTTTCATGAGATCTTCTATCTTGGGAATGTGTAATGTTGCAATCGCAACGGGATCATATGTGTGTTTCTTTACCATAATACGACCTCTAAAGTTTGTCTCATAAGCCCTAACACAGTCTGGATGGAGTAGGGAAAGAACACTTATCGGTCCAAATGAAGAGAACCTAACCACATGCTTGCCCTTTATTCTCTTTGAAGGCATGGTTTTCTGATTTCAAGGATGCACACAAAGTGTTTGATAAAATGTGTTAGAGAGAGTGAGGATTTTGAGTACCCACTACCCAAACCTATGATAAATAGAAGATAACAACACAAATAAGAGGAAACAAGGTGAAAATTTGAGGATATTTTGTGGGTTTGAGAGGATTTTGGAATAAGGGTTTTGTATGAAATGACAAATTAAAATGTGATGAGATGAGAGAAATTTGGGGTTTGTAAAGAGATATGAAGAACGGAATGAGGGATAATGATGGTTGGGTTTGAAGAAAATGAAGATCTGAGTTGATAGAAGTAGATGGTTAAGGTGAGTAGTTCGGTTGAGAGAAGGAAGACAAAGTTTGGGAGTGTTTTGGAGCAAATGTATCGACTCAAGGTCTTAAGAGAAAAAAATTCAGAATTTTTAGCGAAGGAGTCGAATCATTGGTGCGTGGGAGTCAACTCATTTCGGGCAAAGACATTTGGATTTTGGAGATTTTTTGAAGGAGTCAACCCATAGGCTATGGGAGTCGAGTCCTACTATACCAAAACGAAAAAAATGTTTAAAAGTGTTTGAATGACTCGACCCATAGTATAAGGGAGTCAACTCCTACTGAACCAAATTGAAAATCATAAATATTGATGGAAATGTGTTGACCTATATAAGTTTGGAGTTGTCACAAGCTGCCCAGAAGTGAAATATGAGAAAATTCTTGACAAAACATGACCTTAAATTGACTAATGGAGTTTTTAACTGAGACATACATTGTGGACACGGACAAATTTATGCAATACAAATATTGAATTTGTGCAATAAGGATAGATGACAAGCACTAGCAACAAATCATCAAAGTTTAATTCAATTTGAATGATTTGGTTTATGAAACACATATAACGATGAAATACAAAAGATTAAAACACAATGTTACTATAAGCATATAGATTGAAAACACTCATAAGTTATCAATGAAATTTTTGGAAGTGAACAGTTATGGGATTACATCATTCATCAAGCATATGACATAAACATAAAATAAAATTGCAAGTGACATAGATAAAAAATGCATGAAATAAAAACTTGCTAGAAAAGATATAAATGAAATGATATTGCCTCACTGGATGAAAGACGAATGATGCACTTACAGAACGAGGAACTTTCAAACGAAAGTTGAAATAGCTGTAAAGAGTGCCTTGAAACTTTTAGACTTCAATGTTCCTACCACATTCATCTTTGACAAGATCCCATTATGGGCATTTGAGTATCAAGAGACTTTGCATCAACCATTTTGATAATGCATTATTTGTTACATAAACATCCCTTCTAGTTGACTTAGAGTGTGGTCACTTATGGTGATGTCTCCAAGAATATTTTTGATTTAATACCATTCTCATATTTAAGATCATCTTACTCCTCCGCAGGTTTCACCACTTTAGACTGATCAGTTCCTTCTTCGGTGTCTTTGAGTATGTCTTATTAAGATATACTTACATCATGAAAAACAATACCTTTCCTGACTTTTCTTTACCAATTATAACACCCTTTTTTTGTCTTCATAGGTCACTTATCCCATTTTATTTTCCCCAAAGTCAATGAATTAGGAAATGTTACCTGTCACATGTCTTGAACATCCACTTATCAAGAACTCGTATTCTCTTCATGGAGCCAAGAGATTAAATCTACAAAACCAATTAAGAGTGCTAGGTACCCAATTTTCACTGGGTCCTAGAGGGTGAGTATAAATCCTGTTGCACTTAGGAAACCATTGACAAGCGCCTTTAGGAACAAAAAATCTCCTAAATTTGCATTTGGAAATGTAATGACCTTTCTTGCAACAACAATGACAAGTTAAATGATGGTGAGAGAGACTTTTTCTAATTGATTCTTTTAAAACAAAGCTATACTTTTGTATGGAGGATTTAAATCCTTTTTAAATTTTCTAGGATCAATGGCAAAAGTAACATTTGGTTCTAATGCCTTGTTCAATTTGGATTTTAGGGTAATAACCTCTTTTTGCCAAATATGGCAAGTTTCATAACCAAACCAAGAAGGCTCCTCATCATCATTTTTATCTTTTTGAATATATAAAATGGATTACTTAAGGGCTTCCATATTTTTCTTAGTTTCTAAAACTTTGGCTTCTAAGTATGAAAAAGATTATTTTGTTTGAAGCCAGCCTTTTAAAAGCTTCTACAGCATCACCATGTAGTTTTTCAAAAGCAATTTACAATTCGAAATAAGACATATTATTATTAAGTTCATGTTTAGAATGGCTCACTGAAATTCTGGTACGGGAAACACATGTGCATGCTGATATCCCAACATCAGAACAACGTCACTATAAATGTTACAACATATGTTGACAGACTGAATAGATTTATCAAGATGCAAGTGATACTGAAATTAAATTGCAGAATGATAAATAACACATAGAGTTGTTAACTCAGTTCAGTGCAACATCACCTACATCTGGGGGCTACAAAGCCAGGAAGGAAATCCACTATTAGTAATATCAATTCAAAGCCTAAACAATCCCAGTTTATAATTTCTTACTTAATCTTTTCCCAGTGTAACTTCTACCTAGAAATCACCATCTAGATATGAGAAATCGCCATCTCACTTCCTAAATAACCTCAGTGATATCTAACAATCCCAATCTCAATAATTGTATAAAAAACAGCTCAACAAGAATACTAAACTTCCAATACACAAATACTTGGTGTTGCTTAAAAGCTTTATCCAAGAACAATACTCAACTCATTACCTAAAGGCTTCTAAGTGAGAACATTATGTCTACTACAAGTATCAAAAGATACAAAGGTGACTTACACCCACACAAGAGACTCTCAAAATCTAAGACTCTAAGCTTCCCCTAAATTTACAAATTATGAAAAACTTAATTGAAAGAATTTTCACAATAGGTTTATGTTTTCTCCTTTAAACATACCTCTACAGTCCATGGGCTTTGGAACCTGCATCCAAATATTTCTTGATCCACAAGTTGAGTGATGCACCAATTGTGCAACAAAATCTCCTTAAATCTTGGAACAAGCAATACCAAGTTTTCTAAATTGTCTCAAGGCCCAATTTAGTAACTTATGTATAGCTAGAGATACAAAACTTATTCCAGATTAAATTTTCTTGACCTGCGAAATTTACTGAGATATATCCAAAAGGAATATCACAGAATATAATTAAATATGTCAAGATTTAAAATAACTTGTACATGTTCTAGCACAGAATGTCATAACATCTCACAAAACATATTTCTTCAATGAACCTGCCCAACATGTTAGAACATCTCCCGTAACATCTTTATTGTGAACCATGTTTTAGCAAAATTGTTGCAAATCCCACAACCATGGTACTATCAATCTCCCCCTTTGGAAAATTTTGGATAAAACAACCAAAACCAAATAAAGCTAGAGAGAGGAATACAACCACAAGGAATAACACCATCAGAGGAATAAAATCACAAATCAAACTGCACAAAAATTGTACCAAATATACAACAGTTACACAAACACAAGCTATATTCTAAACATGTAAACTTTGTACATGAGGAAGAATATGGCCTGCATCTTCAGAACCATCGAAGTTACTCCTCATAAAATACACAACAAATTCTTGTCACTGAGAGATAAATCTCCATCTCAATAATTCAACACATTAAAAGAACATGCAGCAGAAGAAACACGCATAACTAATAGTACAAGACACAACAATGCTCATAACTCAAAACACAAGACACAACAGACAAGATGTTATAACATCCTATAGGACATCATGTAAACAGAAGCAAGTAAGGGCAGACAGAATCAAGACTCTCATGACAGATATTCATGCTCCCCCTAAATTATTGCATACCACAAGAAACAACACCAGACTAGACTCAAAGACAGTTTTCTTCCCCTTTTAGCTAAAAATTGACAAAAAACAGAGTGAAATGAAACTGACAAAATAAAAAAACCAACAGAAACAAGAATTGATTCAAGACAAATAAAAGAAAATTGAATCTAAAACTTGATGCAAAACTAATAACACCAAACCGACTTAAAGAAGAAACAAGAAAAACACTCAAACAGGACTAAACCAAAGAAAAAATACTTGACCCAAAGAGACAAAAACTTAGTCTCTCCAAAGAGACAAAGCCTAACGAGATAAAACAAATGACTCAAACAAAAACAAAAAAGAACATAAGACTCTTTTTTATATGAAAGATAGCATATAACAGCTATCCAAAAGAACCTCCCGGGTCAATGAAATTGACTCAATCTTCATCATCATATGAGTCTGAATCACGTACATGCACATGGTTTTTCTTGAGGGACTTCACCTTGAATACATATGTTTTCCATGTCCTGGATGTTCTAGTAGATGTTCCAACATTTGTTACAATGTTAGACACTACTTTATTTGAACCAAAATCCACTTCCTTCTTGGTTTCCAGCAGAAGAACCTTCTCTGCATCAGCAATTATGGAAGGTTTGCTCATGTTTAAACGCAACTTATGAGGATGGTGAGGTAGTAAGGCCTTTTAAATACAAGGAAATTTACCTAGATTGTAATGACACCTTGCTTGTAACAACAGTTTAGTCAATGAAAGCATTTTTGGAAGGAGATAAAATCTTCTTTAGAAACAGTGCACCACTCACCATAGGAGAGAGACACGCCCTTGTTCAACTTATCTCTTTTTCAAAGATTTGACTGCTGAAAATGTTACAACATTTGAAATGAAATTCTCCATGCCATTGAAAATGATTCTTCTAGGATTGCACACTAAACTAGGTGACATAATATAGTTGATAGACCGTCCAACCAATTACTACTATAATTATTCAGTAGTGCAATTCCAAAATTATCCATCATATTCTCAATACAACGTGCACCTCAAGTTATGATGAAAATACTTCCTAAAGCTTCTCAACCATACCAAGCTTATGAGTGTCAATATAAGCTTGTAGTAAGATCCTTGACATATAGATGACAAAACCAATGACTTTGTTCTG